CTTCAAGAGCAAGACGGAGTGGCTTCGTGGTTACCCGCACATGGCAAAGGGGAGCTGGGAGTTCATTGGACCAAAGGTTCTCCGAGAGATAGGCAAGTTGGCGGATCTACAGTCACGGGCGTCAGTGGGTACTGTGCTGCTCACGTCTGCAACCGACGCTGCCAACTACTACCTCCCGCGCGATTGGGGTACCATCATGGCGGATTTGCTCGACTACGCCGCCCAACTTGGGCTGGCCGTCAAGCATTTCAATACGCCTGCGAGCCAGATCCGCAAATTCGACCACTTTCACTTCCAGGAGGACAGCGCCTATCGTTTGCAGCTGTTGAGGTGGTTGGGTTTTACCGCCAGGATTATGGTCCTTCGTCACCAATGCTCCTTCTTTAAGGAAGCCGACATCGACCTGGTCCTGCAGAACTACGGCCACGTCTCAAAGCCCAACGTCAAGTTCGCGGTGGACGTGCAGGTGGAGGAGAAGCTCCTGAACCACTTCCGTAGAGGAAGAGTAGAGCCCACACATCAGCCGCTTGTCGAGGCTGACCCGTGGGACGATATCTACTTCCAAGGACCCCAGGAGCAGTTCCCCGACACCGCGCCGAACCACTTTGTCCACCGGGACTTCAAGGACCACGTTCACCTGGGAGATGGGGAATATGTTACCCGCGAGGACTACGACGAGATGATCAAGAAGAGCGAGGAAAATGCCCCCCGTCCAGGGGAGGCCGTCGTTGTTCCGTCATCGTCGTTAACGGCGCGGGAGACTAAGGAGAAGCTTTTGGCCAGGGGGGAGGTCTACAGTCGTCAGCGGACCGACCCTGAGCCAAGTGCCCCCAAGCGGGCAAAGAAGGGCCCACACGAGGCTGCCTACGACGAGCCCATCAAGTCCGGCTACTACTCAATCGATGACGATTGGTGCCTCGTCGACATGCTGGGCCTCGACTGGGACACAATCCATTTATGCCCACCGGAAGGTGAGGCCGAGTGGATTGACATCCTTCAGGACGAGATGCCGAACTTCAAGTATATCCACATTCCCCAGCATCACAAGACTGCCTTGTCCGGTATTGTCCGCGGCAAGGTCGTCCCAGGTCTGCAGGGCGATGGATTGTGGTGCTCTACAAGGAAGATCCTCGAGGCCTGGAACAAGAAGACGAACAGGGATTATGGCCTCGGGATGCTCCTCACTGTCGTCAAGAACGACAACCGCAGCAGGTTCCAGCTGCGAATTGACCGCAACCACCCCCTCGCCGAGTACTACGGCCTAGGAGGCTACCCTACCCTTATTAGGGCGAACCAAGGCATCTCCAAAGATGCTATGAAAGGGGTGCCCGACTCGATCCTTGCGGAGGCCTGGTTCAGCATGATCCCAGAAGCAGAGATGGATGAGCATTCTGCCACCTGGGAAGGTCGGCCGGTTTTGCCCCTGGAGAAGATTCCACGCAGGCTCTACCACCGCACCTACAAGGACCGAGCCTTTGCCATCTTGGACTCCTGCTTTATCCCCGGGCACCACACCGCGAATGCCTTTGTGTATTTTGCCGACCGGGAGGTAGGGCCGGGAGAAAATGTCCCTGGCGTGAGAAGCGATCGCCCCGTGGAGGTGGTCGTCAACACCATGGATGGTCTCAGGCAAGGCGCTGGACTGTTCTACTCACGGTCCGAGGGCGTCCTCTGCAGAGAAGCGATCTCTGGATCGACGATTCTCTACATCCGCGACACAAGGACCGATGAAATCTTGTGGTCTGCCGCGGATGGACCTGAGGGACAGGAGGAGGAAGAGAATGCCCCTCATGTAGAGGAGGCCGAATCTTCCGGAAGCATGGTCGTTGAAGCCGTGGGACCTCTCCAAGAAGTACAGGCGGAGCCTGATGTCGAGCATGAAGAAGCCCCATTGGTCAAGGAGGAGTTCGACGTTCCCATTCTTGAGGAGGTCGAGAGCATCGTTCCTGAACTTCCACCTCTACACGTTCGCTTCAACACCGACGCCGATGTCATCGAGGTGTCACCTTCAGGAAGGAACCGTTTGACTGAAGGTCAGTTGCAAGTGGTCCCTGATGAAGGAGTGGCTACCCGCTCTACGGCACCGGCAACACAAGCGCCGCGTCCTGGATGGAAAAGGGGAATCACGCAGATTCAGTGCGTCAATTGTGGCAAGCTTCGTCTCGAAGGTCAGCACAAGTGTTTCCACTGCGGCTACTACGTCACCCGTGGGGCCACCCAGAGTGCCTTCAGAATGTGGATGGCGCGTGAGCGCTCCCATGTCTTGGACGCCCTGGCGGAGCAGTTTGGAAAGGGCCTTTGGGAGATGGATGCCGCGAAGATTCGCCAGGCCGCTGGAGCGCATGATTTGAGGGGACAGCAGAGCGTAGATGGCCGAGCTATCATGTTGGCACGCCAAAATCTCAAAGGCATCATGAAGCACGGCTACACGTCGATGGTGGACAAGTTCGACCAGGACGACACCTACGCGATCCACGCTATCAAGGGCGGCTGGACGAGAAGGCGGCTCACTATTCAGGACTGTGTGGCATGCGCTTATCTTCCCAATCAAGGACGTTCCCGCGAACAACGTGAGCTGGGCTACGGCTCCAACAAGGCCTGGGAGAATAAAAAGGTCAATCATGAGGGCCTGGCTCGCATGGCGTTCTTCGACAAGAATGCCGACGATCTCGTCCTGGCCGGCCTCATCGACGACCCCAACCTCGAACCTATGGGCTACGCTTGGCTCGGCAACTTCATGGGCGTGAAGGAGTTCGCCCGGATCATCCGCGTCACCCGTGCGGTTTCCCACGTCCTCACCTTCACGGAGGGCATCATTGGCATCCCGGACTTCGATGAGGAAGAGCATCTGGCAGTCTTTTTGGCCGAGATCCTCTCTGAGAATTATGGTGGGGCAAAGGAGACGTGCCGAAAGATGAAGGAATCGGCAGAAGCGTCCCGGGCCGCTCAGGCGCGGGCGGATGCAAGAAAGGCATCGCAAAATGCCCCCCGTCATGGGGAGGCCGATCGTGACACGAATCGTGGCTGGTCGTGGAGCGACAACTCTTGGTCGCAGGACGACTGGCATTCCTCAAGTTCCTGGCGTGACCGCCAGTGGCAGGATCAAGGATCCTGGTGGAGCTCGGGGAGTCGCAGTACGGAGCACTCCCGTGGACCTTGGCGCTACGACCATCGAGATCGCAGCTGGTGAGTCCTGAGTTCCGCTTTTCTGATAAAGTAGCTTAGCATCTTGACCACAACGCTCTGTTTTCCTTTCTTTTGAGGTCGATGCTGAGTGAACCACTGTATTGCACGAGCCACCTTTGTATCCCCGCCAGCGTTTCAAATTTCTTAAGCTGGTGAGCGGTGATCTGTGGCGTTGAACCTGAATTAAGACTCGGGTGAGCGCACTTTGAACATACAGTAGAAGAGCAAAATGCAGCACGTAGTGCTTGCCGTGGATTCGTTGACTGCGTTTCAGCATTCTCACGCTTCAACGAGGGGGGTGTATTTTATATCTGTGCATTCCCTCCACTTTTGCTTCCATGTATGTTGCACTTACTTGTGCCGCTCAAGCCCTCTGAGTAAAAAGGTTAGGCGCGCCCCTGCTCATGGCTTAACGGATAACAACTGGTGGATTTCCCAAACTATAAACCCCCCAGCTTGCCAGGACGGCAACCGCCAGCATCCCGCAACCCTCAGCAGCCCCCGCAATGATGAGGTTTAGGGGTTTAGGGTTTTTTCGGGTTTTGGCTAGGGTTTGGGGTTTAGGGTCAGTAGAATGCAGGAATCCACAAGTACGTCCATTCTTGCATAGGGTTTGGGGGCTCCTTTCTATAGAGGGGCACCTGTGGATGTGATGATTGCGCGTGTGAAGTGATACCTCCTACACATCAACGACTATGACCTCCTACTGCTTCTCCATGGCTGTGGATGAGCTGATCCAGAAGGAGGTGAGGCCTGCATGTTTAACCCTAAAGTTCTTTAGGGTTTAGGGTTCAGGGTTCAGGGTTCAGGGTTCAGGGTTTAGGGTTTAGGGTTTAGGGTTCAGGGTTTAGGGTTTAGGGTTGGGTTCGGCCGGTCCACACTAACAGTCAAATAACGCCGTGGCCTTATATCACACAGGCCAAAAATAGCACCAGGAATCCCAGTCAATTTTAGCATTTACCGGGTGCTTCTTTTTGTGGGTCTGCTGGTGGTGACTGTTAGTCACATAGCAGCAGAAATAGCACCAGAAATAGCACAAACAATAGCACAAAAAATAGCACCAGAAATAGCGCCAGGAATAGCACAAAAAATAGCACCAGAAATAGCACAAACAATAGCACCAGAAATAGCACCAGGAATCCCAGTCAATTTTAGCAGCTTAGCATTTACCGGGTGCTGTTTTTTGTGGGTCTGCTGATGGTGATTGTTAGTCACATAGCACCAGCAACAGCACCAGAAAATAGCACCAGAAATAGCACAAACAATAGCACAAAAAATAGCACCAGAAATAGCACAAACAATAGCACAAAAAATAGCACCAGAAATAGCACAAACAATAGCACAACAAATAGCACCAGAAATAGCACCAGAAATAGCACCAGGAATAGCACCAGGAATAGCAGGAATCTCAGTCAATTTTTTGGCATTTGCCGGGTGCTTTTATTTGTGGGTCTGCTGGTGGTGACTGTTAGTGTGGACCGGCCGAACCCAAGTTTAGGGTTTAGGGCAACCTAAACCAGAAGCTACTTTATTCCTGAAAGCCCAGGGATGCTGTTTCCTTGCCTAATCCTACTGCGCTACTGCGAGTTGGCCGCCCGCAGACCTTTGGCTGATGCTGAGGAACTGCAGAAGTCTTGTGGCTTAGATGTTTTGGGTTTTGGGTTGAGGGTTTAGGGTTTAGGGTTTAGGGTTGGTTTAGGGTTTAGGGTTTCGGGCGTAATGCTCGGAATGTGATCCAACGGTCACACATCAGCTGAAAGCCGACAGCTTGCAGTGAATAGCCGCAGCTTTGCTGCCTCAGCCTGGCACTCGGTATGAGTACAGCCCAATGTTTCGTGTGCAGCGCGCCTGCTACTGCCATCTTCTGGTGTCAGCCTCACTGCAGGCATCATGGTCGTATGACCAGGTACTACGTCTGTCGGGCATGCATGCTTGGCAGATTGTGCCAATTTTGTCACGAACCCGGCATCATCACAGCTGACTCAGATGGCTCTGATGAGACCGGAGACTCAGACGCTGATTGTGCTTACAGTGCGGTGCGAACCACAAGTGGGGACAGCTCCCTCGGAGAGGATGATGAAGCATTCTGCGCAAGCACCAGTGACTCGGCAAGCCAATCGATCAGCGACACGGAAGGAAACTCCGATGCGCGAGATGCCGGCAAAGCTGAAACTTTGGAAGATGGTAATGGCAACGACGAGGACGACGAGGACGACGAGGACGACGACATTTGACGACGTTTTGACGACAATTTTACATCATCGGCTGAATGTTTGATTCGGAACTTACTAGTTAAGTTGAAAGACGTAGTTCTTTGACAGGTGGAAGTGCTTTCTGAATTAACTATCGAGCAAGAGTGCTTGGACAAACGGTGCTTTGTGAAATAGTGCTTTCTGAATTACCTTTAAGGAATCGTCTTTGGAGAAACAGTTTTGTTCTCAATGCACAGCCTGCAATCAGCAGGCTCTTTCGAATTCACACTGTCCAATCTGCGCCGATCACTGGCAGTGCATTGCCAATTGACAGCTGTCGGCGTTCAAGGCACAGGCTTCTCGACAGTCACGTCGGCAATGTCATTTCGAGTTTACACAGCTGCCAGTTGACAGTTGACAACACTGGACTGCAATGCACTGCAATGCATGCACCGCAATTCGCTGCAATCACTGCAATCCACTGCAATCAATCACTGCAATGCACGGCAATCACTGATCTTCATGCTGACACGTGTGTCGATTGGACCGTGATTTTCTGAACTGAGAGACACTGAAGCATGATTCTGACACTGCTACTGCACAAAAGGTCCTTGAGGTTTGCTTCGTGCTGTCCTGTCAGCTCGGGACAGCAAAAGCTATTAGCTGTTCTCTCTAGATTCTTAGTAGTAGAGTAGGCAAACCTTTAGCCTTTTTGGGGATGTTATGTTCCCTTTATCATCCCAAGGCTTGACCTTTAGCTCCCCAAGGATACTGGACAACTAAGCACTGCATGTGGTAATTCCGCACCCTGAAGCCTCAAAGTGCGTCTAGTGACATTCCTGGAGCCAGGCCTTTGGCAGCTTGTAGGTTTGCACTAGGGTTTTAGAGACTAAAGAGGAGCCTGTTGTGGGTAGCCCCTAGGCCGAAGTCACGCGAAGATGCACAGATTCCCTGACTGATCCCTACACGGCAGGTGACAGGCCGCTCTACGACCTTGTCGACAGCCGCTTCTAAGCGCTCGGAGTGCTCAAGCCGTCTGTTCAGCATAATCTGGGTACTAAAGGGGTCGGAATAATTTCTAATAGTATTCCCTTCGGGTCCCTTTATGAATATACTATTAGAACCCCCCCAAAACCCGATTCTAGTTCTCAAGGCCCCTATATTCGTTCTCCAAATTAGGGTCCGCGTTTTCAATGCGGCACCCTTGGGGCTCGTCACGGGCTTTAGGGGTCTAAGCCTTTTCAGGGTTTAGGGTTTAGGGTAAGTTTAAGGTTTAGGGTTTAGGGTTTAGGGTTTAGGGTTCAGGGTTCAGGGTTCAGGGTTCAGGGTGTAGAGATGGGTGTGAGGTGGCGCCCCACAAAACCTCCGAGACCTTTTTGCCAAAGGCAGATGGCAAGCTCGCCAAGAAGGCCCTGACCCAGCGATCCAAGGGTTATTGTCTGGCTTTCTTGGAGGTTCATGGGTACTTATCATGTAATAAGTAGGTTTGTAAGTTGTAAGTACCCGACAGAAGGGTATAGGTGTTGTTACCATACTAGTCACCGTACTTAGATATCCATGAACCTCCAAGGAGGGTGTTTTGGGTCGCCTGGGTTGCTTAAAGCTGGATCCGAGCCCGGCGATAGACACGACAGGGGGTCCATTCTGCAACCTGGCTGAATCGCGCTATGGGCAGACGAGTAGTCTGAGTGACAACAGCCAAAAATCTAGAACGGCGACACGACATAGAACCTGAACATATCTTGCTATTGAAACGGTGTGTTGGTGTGCGCCTTTTGAGTGGCATTTGGCATGGCAGACCTCAGCCGGTAAACTGCGTGCCAGCCTGGAAAGCCCGTGCAACTGCACGTGCATCGTCACATTTCAACATTTTTAGTAGGTTTTCAGGCGTTGGTGAGTTTCTGTACTGAGCAAATGTATATATAAATACATATGCATAGATGTACGCATGCTTCCCTTAAGTATTTGGGGGCTGCACATATTCACATACTAGGTGCCCTTTTGGAGATACTGGTAATGAACAAACCCTAATTACCTCACGTGGCATTCGAGCTCTGCGTTCGTGAAGTCCTCAATCACAGGCAGAGTCAGATGTATATATGAGGAGTCACAACCCCCTCGTGCATCCCCCACAAGAATAGACCCCAAAAGCACGATTATTGCAAGTCCCTGGTGTTCGTCGAATTTCCCTAAGCCCTAAACCCTAAACCCTAAACCCTAAACCCTAAACCCTAAACCCTATAATCCTAAACCCTAAACCCTAAACCCTATAACCCCAAACCCTAAACCCTTATATGCACACAGGACAAACCCTAAAACTGATGTTCCAGGCCTTCCGAGTCATGCTCCAGCGGATGCCTGCTGCCAAGATGATCATGCCACAGCCTCAAAATGCTTTGTTTAGGGTTTAGGGTTTAGGGTTTAGGGTTGAGGGTTTAGGGTTTAGGGTTTAGGGGCCCATCCTTCAGGGTGCAGGGCTGCCTGTAACTCTGAACCTTACATCCTGAAGCGTAAACCTTAAAACCCTACACCCTCCACACAGCCGCTTCAGCAACGCCCGGCCTTCTGGTTTTCTGACGGGCTACTTTAGCTGACCACAGACCCTAAATAGAAACCCAAAACGTAAACCCTAAACCTTAAACCCTAAACCCTAGACCCTAAACCCTAGACCCTAGACCCTTTGCAGCAGAAGCCCTAAACCCGTTTGGGAGACTTCGGGTGCCTCACGCAAGGTGGCCCAATCCATGCATAGTGAGTCGACCAATGTCTTGGGTGTTGTGAGGGCTGATCCTAAGATGTTCTTGGGGTTTGGGGTTTGGGGTTTAGGGTTTAGGGTTTAAGGTTTAGGGTTTAGGGTGTGTGCTACGTTGACTTGACCGGAAGTCATCAACCCTAGTTCTCAGGTACTTCCTGGACATGCACGCAGACCTTCCACATCCATCTCAGGCTGGCCGCCGGAGCGCCTCAGGTTCCTGATCTGATTAGGAGCGGGGTGGTTCTTCAGATTGGTCGAAGAAGTTCCTGTTGTGGCGTGAAAGCCAAGTAGTAGCATGGCTTGGGTTGGTCTTCCGCGGGAACGACGACGTTGCCGCAGTGACATGAGCTCCCCTATTGCAACCTGGCTTACCCTAAATCCTAGATTGGCCCCAAATCCTATGCCCGATAAGCCCTATAGGAATCCCAAAGCCCTCAACCCTAACCCTAAACTCCAAACCCCAAACCCGAAACCCTAAACCCTAAACCCCAAACCCCAAACCCTAAACCCTAAACCCTAAACCCTAAACCCTAAACCCTAAACCCTAAACCCTAAACCCTAAACCCTAAACCCTAGACCCTACCAAAGTGTCAGACACTAACAACAAGCAAAGAGGCCGAGCTGACTTCGACGCTCAGCCAAGCGGAGACGGCCTCTCGCCGGCGGAAGTTCGGTGTCGTTCAGGGTTTAGGGTTTAGGGTTTAGGGTTTAGGGTTTAGGGTGCAGGAGTGACCTTGTAGCTTTAGAGTCCGGCGTGCACTTTCTTTTACAATTTCCTATCACTCGTGCTCGACAATACGCATGCAACTGGGTGTTACTTATCGGGGGGGGGGGGGGGGGGGGGGGGTGAATTCCTTGGTTCATTTTGCTACTGCAGAACCTGGCAGAAACTCTCTCATTTTCCCCGTTTTGCTGCGTTAAACCCTATAATGGGGTAAATCTACCCAAGAAGAATTGTGCAGTCTCGCACCCGGCCTGAAGAATTTTTGGGGCTCCATATCGGATGTCTTACAGCAGCGGCAGCGCGTTCTCCGCATCTTCTCATGTGCAGAGACATCGGGGCTTGTATGCTCCCGAGCCCTCTAGGCGTGTTTTTGCCCCAAGGATGCGTGGCACTCACACAAATTCCTAGGTAGGCTCTTGGGAAATTTGATATTTTCCTTGGGTTGAAGAGGGGAAAGGTCCGCTTGAATCTTCGTTTGTTGAGGTTTTAGGGTTTGTAGGGTCTATAGGGTTTAGTTTTAGAGTTCATAGGGTTTATGGGGTTTATCGGGTTGGGCAGGTTTATATAGGGTTTATAGGGTTGAAGGTTTGGAAAGCACAAGAGCCTCAACAATCTACAAAGCCCTTCAACAACTCCCATGCCCGAGGCGGAGATTGTTTTGCACGAAACCGTGAAGAAGCTTCTCCGACGGGACCTTGGGCTGTGTCCGTTCATGGGGCCCTTTTCCACCCCCTACCCAGAAAATAGTGCCCACTTTGAGGACTTTTTGTGTGTTTGGGCTTGGCCTACACCCTAAACACCAAACAAACCCTATCTGGGCAAGGGTAGTTCGAGTGGGGGGTAGTGTACGATCCTGGGAACCCCTGGTCAGCACGCTCAGGGTGTGGAGGGATTGTAACCGGTTCCTCTATCTTCTAATTTTCCGTTAAGCAACTCCACAATCATAAGGGACATTTTAGGGTTTAGGGTTTAGGGTTTAGGGCGAGGGTTTAGGGTTTAGGGCGGAGCCTTTGCATGGCCCCAAGTACTCGCCGTTTTCACACACGCCACCGTACCAAGTCCTGTGCGCAATGTCGATCAACCTCCCACATAAGCCGAGTTCCCACCCCACGGACCTGAATCTAATGGTAGTTAAATTTAGCCCTAAATCCTAAACCCTGGCCCTAAACCCGAAACCCTAAATGGTCCCTGATTATGGCCCTTACCTTCTTTAAAGGGTTCTGAAGTACCTTGGGTTTCATAGGGTATATACGGGGTTAACTACCCTTAGGAATGAGGGCCCTACATACTTCCTTAACGGGTATACAGAGGGACCTCATTCCCCATTCCCTACTAAGATCCAGGGGGCTTAAACTTAAACCCTAACCCTAAACCCTAAACCCTAAACCCTAAACCCTAAACCCTAAACCCCAAACCCCAAACCCCAAACCCCAAACCCCAAACCCCAAACCCCAAGCCCTCCCTTCGGGTTTGTCCACAGGTCTGGGCATCGCTTGCAAGCAGCCCACGGCTCAGCAGCAGAAGCCTTCGGAGGGTTGAGAGGACCTAGAGGGGTCGGAAGAATTTATTAAGGGTATTCCTTTATGGTCCCTATATTTAAGTATACCATAATCACCTCACCTCCCCCCAACAAAAATGATAACCCCTATAGTACCATCTTAGGCTTCTCTGGCTCGGCCCCTCTGAGGGGAAGTTGGCAACTTCTTTGAACAAGTGGGAGGATGCTTGGGGGCCAACGTCGGTGCTTCGGGTTCTCGGTTTTCGGTGTTTCCCCCCTTTTTTCCCCCCCCTCCTGGTTCAGAGGTTAACTTTTCCCGTATACCCCCCCCCCCCTCCCCCATAAAGCAGGGGCTTACCTTCTCAGCCTGAGCTGCCGGATTGTTGTCTCATATACGGGGCTGGATCTAAGTATTCTCAAGTTCATGGATATGGTGACACACAAAACAAGCAACAGGGCCAACTTCGCACCCTGACTTGTAGCACTTGGCCTGCAATGGGACCCTCCACGGTTTGGATCAACGCGGATAGATTCGACCCTGAAGGGAGACATGAGGCCAAAGGCTGAAACTGGAAACCCCTAAACCCAAAAACCCAAAACTCAAACTTTCCATAAACCTCCTAAACCCTAAACCCTAAACCCTAAACCCTAAACAATCTCTGCAAACCCAAAAACCTAAACCCTTGAAATGTGGCCCGAGCCTCGGGCTCGGCGGGTGGCACAAAGAAGAAGTCACAAGGAGAGCCTGCATCCGGAAGCCCGGAAGCCGCAAGCCCCTGATCCCTAAACCCTAAACCCTAAACCCTAAACCCTAAACCCTAAACCCTAAGCCCTAAACCCTAAACCCTACACCTCAGCCCTAAACCCTAAACCCTAAACCCTGAGCCCACTCCCAACTCCCAAGCAAGTCCCAACCCGGCGCCGCCACGCAGGTGTCCCGTTCCACAGAAGTGGATTGGCAGTGCCCGGCCTTGGCTGATTGAGGGCTTTCAGAACCCTCCTATGCCCTAAACCCTAAACCCTAAACCCTAAACCCTAAACCCTAAACCCTAAACCCAAGCAGTGAACCCTAAGCTCTGAACCCCTAACCCCTGAACCCTAATATAGGGGTCGGAATAGATATCAATAGTATTCCCTTATGGTGCCTTTATATTTATACTGGAAGAACCCCCCCCAAAAAAAACCCTATTCAAATGATTAAGGCCCCTATATTACTTCCGAAACTCGAAGCCCTGGACCTGAGTCTGGAGGGCCTGGCACCAGGGTTTCGGGTCTCAGGTGGCAGGGGGATTTTTTGTGTTCGGGAGCTCTAGAATTTTGGCGCCGGCTCAGGCTAAACCCTAAAGCCCCACTTGGCAGGGTTCATGCGGCCGTATACCCTACTTGTAAGTACCCATGAAACCTCCAAGCAGGGTTAGGCCTTTCGCTCCTGAGCCTGGTAAGGCTCGAAGCTTCCCCTCATCCCTTATCCCAAGCTTTAATCGGTCTGCGGTTTTGGGTTTTGGGTTCAGGGTTTAGGGCTTCGGGTCGAGACAAGCTACAGCAAGTGACCCGTGGACGTTCCGGGAGCACACAAGGCGGGCTTTGAGATTTGAGAAACGTGCCTCCATGCTCGCGGCATAGTAACCACAAGAGTTAAGACTCTGGGGGCTGAGCGCACTCGCCCCACGACCTGCCACTGTCGCATAGAATATGCCAAGGGCCCAAGCACCTCCAGCAACCCTGAACCGGCTTCCAAAACTTCTGCGAAATCGAGTCTCCCACATGCGTACGAGGCTTTTCAGTTCCAAACCCGACCTCAGGCTCCGTGGCCTTGGGCTATGATGTGGGGCAGTCTGCATCTGAGCTTCTTTTGGCCCGAGAGTTCACAGGTGCAATCCTGTTTTTCCGCGAGTTTTCCCAAATAAGCCTGACCTGTAACAGTACCGCAGAAATGGGCCTTCGAAAGGGGACCCAATTTGCGGGAACCTCCTCCGAAACGACGCCGGTTCCATGTCTGGGAGTGAGGTTGCCCACTCGCGAAAATGCCGAGGAGCAGCTGAGCCCGGGCACCCGATCGAATCTGCCTGGCGACCCCTATACCCTAAGCCCTAGAGCCTAAACCCGAAAGCTACGCCCAAAGCACAAAACTCAGGGAATTAAGCAGCTTATATCCACGCCACATGTATCAGGAGAGAGAGCCCAATACCCCAATCATGGCGAAGTCACCACCCTAACCCTAAACCCTGGCTCCCCTTAATGGCCTAAACCCCTTTGTATGTATCTTATGGTTCCCAACATACGTACGAGTACTGACTCCCCCCAAAAAAGCCTATTCTAACTATTCGGGCCCCTAGCAGCCGTATAGCCCTAAACCCTAAACCCTAAACCCTATGTTGGGTGTATACTGTTAATCATCCTGCTTACGTGACTGTTGAAGCGCGGGCCAAGTGGTGGTTCCTTCCATCGGGGCCCCGTCATCTAGTGCCGTTTCTCCGGCTGTCTCCAATGTGATGCAGCTTCTGTCTTGGATTCGTCCGGAGCCTCGCCAGCGTGTGCGCCAGTGTAAGAGTCGAAACCCTAATCCCCAAACCCCGGTCTAATACTTAAAACCCCTATGGCTACCCCATGAACCCTTCAGAGTACCAAGGAAAGCAGACCATCGTCTCCATTTTCGACTGGGGCAGGTCCGAGCTCAACACCATCCAGAAGCGCCTGGGATTCATTTTCACGGGTAGGGTTTAGGGTTTAGGGTTTGGGGTTTGGGGTTTGGGGTTTGGGAGTTTGGGAGTTGGGGAGTTAGGGAGTTAGGGAGTTAGGGTTTAGAGTTTAGGGTTTAGGGCTTCTCTTGGGGTATTTGATGGTTTCCCCTTGTCGGGTTGCAGAGGATGATATGTGGGAATATTGTTCATCGGGATTAAAATGGGGGCCAACCTAGCATGCGAGGGGCCCCTGCGTAGGTACTTGCCTGTAAAGGAATCCTCAGAATAGAATGGAGGCTTTCTGGTTGAGGGGTTTAGGCTTTAGGGTAAGCTTTCAACAACTTTGGGGACTAAATGAACCCTAGAAGAAGTTTATGGACCGGACTGAACATGCCCAGGGAAGGAGCTACGACCAGCTACGACTATGCGGTACTCATGATAGTTCCCAACAGTTCAGCCCAGACCTACGGAAGCCTTGCCACGTGCGACAGTGAGAGCCGGAACCATGTAAGCCCTAAACCCTGTTCATTCCCTAAGCCCTACCAAACCCCGAGACCCTGAACCCTAAACCCTAAACCCGAAATTATTGCTAAACCCTAAACCCTCAACCCTCAACCCTAAACCCTAAACCCTAAACGCTAAACCCTAAACCCTAAACCCTAAACCCTAAACCCTAAACCCTAAACCCTAAACCCTAAACCGTAACCCTAAACCCTAAACCCTAAACCCTAAACCCTAAACCCTAAACCCTAAACCCTAAACCCTAAACCCTAAACCCTAAACCCTAAACCCTAAACCCTAAACCCTATCCGAGGCATGGAGCGCTCTCGGATAGCGCACAGGCAGACAGAGCACAGTGCTGCCCTCAGAAGCCAGAAGGCTGTGGAGTCCCCTGAGCGACCAAGGGTTTAGGGTTTAGGGTCTGGAGTTTTGTTTTGGGGTTTAGGGTGTAGGGTTTAGGGTTTAGGGTTTGGAATTTTGTTTTAGGGTTTAGGGTTTGGGGTTTAGGGTTTAGGGTTTAGGGTTTAGGGTTTAGGGGTTAGGGGTTAGGGCTAGGGTTTCTTTTTTTCCATCAATTTTTAAACAAAACCTAGGGCAGATTCAGCATAGTGTTTCTTCTTATGGCTCCAAGGGGGGCCCCTAAACCCTAAACCCCAAACCCTAAACCCTAAAAATGGGGCTGCCTCAAGGCGGGCTCAACGTTGCTGGCCCAGGAGCACCCCAAAGCCCTACTACCTCACACAGCTCAATGCTGGAAGTTGGTTTAGGGTTTAGGGTTTAGTTTTTTAGGGTTTAGGGTTTAGGGTTTAGGAAACCTTGAACCGGAAGTCGTTAACGCTCCCTAAACCCTTAGACTAAAGTTCGAACGTGCAAAGCCCAAAGCAGAGGTATTGGTCTTACTATACTGGCGGCATCTACCGCCTTGGTTGGGAGGCGCGGCGGCTTGCAGCTGAGGGGTAGGGTTGGCACATGCTGCTTAGTTCACCGGCCACTCTTGGGGTTGCAGGGTTTAGGTTGGAACGTTCCCCCTGATAGCAACAGTCCTTAATATGGGTTATAGTACCCCCCCCCCCCCCTATTCGCATCCCCATGAAGGACTGTTAGTATAGGGGGAACATCCCAACCCTAAACCCTAAACCCTAAACCTCAAACCCTAAACCCTAAACCCTAAACCCTAAACCTTAGGTTTCTAGGGTTTTATGTTTTTTGGGTTTCGAGCCGGGCCTTCTCAAGTTTGAGCTCCTTGGTAGTGCCGGGCCACCTCGGAAGGCGCCGGTGCCTTGAGGCTTCCTTCAAGGTCGGCAAGGTCAGCAAGGTTAGTGTTTAGGGTTTAGGGTTTAGGGTTTAGGGTTTAGGGTTTAGGGTTTAGGGTTTAGGGTTTAGGGTTTAGGGGCAAGGGCTTCAAGAACGACTGCCTCCACCTGCAATTTATTCTGGCTCAGCTCAGCCATGTGGGAGGTGTTTTGCCTTGGGGACTTATGGGGTCCCTGAGGTAGGCTAGGGTCCCTGTATGGGGTCCTTTGAAAGATTATCATATACATATATATATATATATATATACATATCCGCAAGTGTTTGTATATTTGTATTTTGTTCCTCTGACACATACACACATAGATATACATAGAATACTCGTCTCACACACACAGTTATACATATTATATATATATATATATAGACTATATAGACCTTTAGGATCCTTATATATGTGTATACCTGTAGATGTTTCTATCTATATTTGTCATATCTTGAAAAAAGTAAAGGGATCCCACAAACCGTTAACTTGCCACTGCGGTCTTTCGGTTTGCCGCATCTGGTGTCTCATGCACCGCGGGGGCTCCTGCTGTGGAAGCCGCCCCCCAAAACATCCGAAATCCTGAAGCCGCCTTCAGAATGAACTGGGCTTTAGGGTTTAGGGTTTAGGGTTTAGGGTTTAGGGTTTAGGGTTTAGGGTTTAGGGTTTAGGGTTTAGGGTTTAGGGTAACCCTAAACCCTAAACCCTGAACCCTGAACCCTGAGCCCTGAACCCTGAACCCGAAACCTTAACTTCGCGCGCCATGGATGGCGGGACAGCTGGAAGCCTGGTTGTCGACGCCGGCTCAGGGCGTTGTAAGGCCGGCTTCGCGGGCCAGGATGCCCCGACATCGGTGCCTTGCGAGCTTTGGCATCTTGCTTTGGGGTGGTTTAGGGTTTAGGGTTTAGGGTTTAGGGTTTACGGTTTAGGGCTTGGGTCTCTCTCTCTCTCTCTCTCTCTCTGTCTCTCTCTCTCTCCAACTCTTTCTGTCTGTATGACATCTGTCGAGGTGTATTTTGTCACAACCACGTGTCTTGTTAGCGGGCCCTTTCTTCTCCTGAAACGCCAAACCTATCGTGAAACTCCATCCTCCCTCTCCTTGGTGGGATAAGGGGGACCCTTAAAAGGGAACCCTTTTCTGGCTCTCTTAACAAGGGACCTTATTCAGAGGGTCTATATCCCCAAGGGTCCCCCTAACCCTAAACCCTACCCTCAGATGCTGAGGTGTTCCCGCCATTCATCCGAAAGTCGCTGCTCCCTGCCTTGCATTGGAGCTGGGACCCAATTCAACCCTTGACAGAAGAGCCCTTCGGGTGTCTTTCGTAAACCCTGAACCCTGAACCCTGAACCCTGAACCCTAAACCCTAAACCCTAAACCCTAAACCCTAAACCCTAAACCCTAAACCCTAAACCCTAAACCCTATAACCCTAAACCCTAAACCCTAAACCCTAAACCCTATAACCCTAAACCCTAAACCCTAAACCCAGCGGCCCCCAACCCCGCAGCCACCTGTCGTTGAGGGTTACCAGCTACTTGCAGCAGACAGGGCTTTTGCCTTCAGTATGGGGACCACCAAACCCTTGGCTCAGAAACCTTCGTAGGAATTAGGACATATTCGAGGCTTTCCAGGGAGTCGCTGCGAAGTCCTGACCTTTCCGCCTTAAGGCCAAACTCGATAGGCTCCAAACCCTAAACCCCAAACCCCAAACCCCAAACCCCAAACCCTAAACCCTAAACCCCAAACCCTAAACCCTAAACCCCAAACCCTAAACCCTAAACCCCAAACCCTAAACCCTAAAGCCCACACCCCAAAAGGAATTCAAGGCGGAGCTCAAGCAATCACAGCCATGCCTGCAGCCTGAACAAAGGTCCCGAAATGGCCCCACAACTCCGCAACCAAACCAAGCAGGGTGCCCTTATTGCAAGAACGGCAGCTGGGCCAGCCCACGATAGGGTTTAGGGTTTAGGGTTTAGGGTTTAGGGTTTAGGGTTTAGGGTTTAGGGTTTAGGGTTTAGGGTTAGGCACGCACAGACTCAGGCTACATCCTGAGGATCCCTACATAGGTGAGGAGGCGCAGGCCACCACTGGTCTGCCGGGGCGAGGGGGGCTAAGTGCTGTACCTCGAAACAGGGGCACGGCTTTGGGTGCATGTTTAGGGTTTAGGGTTTAGGGTTTAGGGTTTTAGGGTCTAGGGTTTAGGGTTTAGGGTTTAGGGTTTAGGGTTTAGGGTTTGGGGCTACTAGAGCCGACTGCATTGCATCATCATTGGAGACTGGCTTGTAGTGTAAGTTCTGATGCTTCTGACGCAGTAGGGCCCAGCCTACTTTTTTTTTATCCTAGGAAGTGATACTTAAGTTCTATCCCATGTTCGAGACCCTGATGCGCAAACAGTATGTCAACATAAACCATTCAGAGTTCTACGCCGGGGGGTCTGAAAATGTTGCCGCGGGGTGCCTGCGAACGGCTCACCCCGGCCTGGGAGCACGCGCTGTTCTCGGGTTTAGGGTTTAGGGTTTAGGGTTTGAAGCCAAGTGCTTTTTGGACGAAAAAATCGCGCTGTCGCCTAGGAGCGGGCATGGATGCGCTTGCCGCCATCGAAACGGAAATCGCTTTGTTGCAGTCTACTTCTCACTACAGGGCCCCTCCCTAAACGCTAAACCCGAAACCCTAAACCCTAAACACTATAAACCCTAAACCCTAAACCCTAAACCCTAAACCCTAAACCCTAAACCCTAAACCCTAAACCCTAAACCCTAAACCCTAAACCCTAAACCCAAACCTTTCACCCTAACTCCAAACGCGTGGCAGGCGCCACAGCGAGCGTGTGGACCAGCAACGAGTCCCTTTGACTTCCGCACGGGCTCATGGGCCGACGTAGCCGCGAGGCTTCAATTCAGCCCTACTTGAAGGATTTAAGGTTTAGGGTTTAGGGTTTAGGGTTTGGGCAGTTGTAAGCAAGGTGAAAAGTATGGTAACTGTACTTACAACCCTAAGCCCTAAACCCGAAACCTATTTGGGGTACTTGTAACCCTACTTTCAAGATCCTATGAACCTCCAAGCGCAGCCCCGATGATCAAACCCTAAAGCCTAAACGCTATCTGAGGGGTCGAAAGGAACCCCAAAATTGGGGTCATGCACCTTATATTGCTATACTTCCTACTAAGGTATGCGAACCCTATGTATATGGATCATAGTAGCCTTTCAGGGTTCATGTCACCCCCAAGGTATGCATCCTATTCGCCCCCCCGAAAAAAAGTCGGAAGCCATGGACCTTTTGCCGTGGGGCCTCACAGGGATGAGGGGATGCGAATCCTTGAGGACCAAATGAACCCTAAAATTGGGGTCATATACCGCAAACTGCGATAATTCCTTATGAAGGCATATGAACCACAAACCCTTTTAGTGTTCATTTCGTCCCCAAGGATGATAGGTACTCAAGCATGTAGGGCGGCGTTTAGGGTTTAGGGTTTAGGGTTTAGGGTTTAGGGTTTTTGGGTTTAGGGTTTAGGGTTTAGGGTTTAGGGTTTAGGGTTTAGTTTCTTGGCCCTCAACTGCAAGGAGTCACTCAAGAGTCTCTCAGGGTCCGCAATTGTTGATCAACCCCGCGTGCGAACTTCTAGTCGTGGAGATGTTTGCCCAGGTTTAGGGTTTCGAGTTTACCGCTGCCCTGAACCCTACATAGGGTTTAGGGTTTCGGATGTTAGGCTTTCGCGTTACAAACCCAAAACAACAGTTAGGCTTGGTCCATGTAACGACCGGTCTACTGGGCCCTGAGTTATTCAAGAGCTTACGATTCGACAAGGCAAGGGAGCTTCAGCTTTGAAAGTCTGCTGCCGATGCCCCAAACTTCCCCAGTCTACGATAGGGGTCGGAATAGTTGCTAGTAGTATTACTTTTGTGGCCCCTGTGTAGTTATATGCTATAAAAATAAACACCCCCCCCCCCCCAAAAAAAAAAAAAAAAAACTCTGTTCGAATCATTAAGGCTCCTACAGTACCCAGTACCCACCAATGCAGGCAGCGAGCTTGGTGAGACTCGGGCATTCCGAGTTGCCATCCCCCCCCACTCCTGGACCAAGCCTAGTCCCCTAGCGCAGCTCTCAACCTTAAACCCGACATGTCCAGAGTTACCCTAAACCCTACACCCTACACCCTAAACCCTAAACCCCGATGTCTCAGGAGATGATGTGGGCCTACATCTTCTACCAGGAGCTTCGCGTGGCGCCGGAGGATCATGCCCTACTTGTGACAGAGTCTTGTCTACAACTTGATGTCTTTCGTTTAGGTCAGAGTTTAGAGTTTAGGGTTTAGGGTTTGGGGTTTGGGGTTTAGTTTTTTAGGCTTTTCCGTTTAGGGTTGAGGGTTCTTCGGGGGGGGAAAAAGGGCTTGGGATGGCCAAGTATACTGGGCTCACTGAGTCTTACAAGAAAGCAAAATGCTGCTTCCCCGATTGCCGGGCAAAGCTACCGAAACGAACCCTAAACCCCTAAACCCTAAACCCCTAAACCCTAAACCCCTAAACCCTAAACCCCTAAACCTAAACCCCTAAACCCTAAACTACAAGGGCAAAGGCACCAAGTAATGAGGGCTCATGGGGACTGTGCGACCTTTGGAGGGGTGGGAGGGGGGGGGGGGGGGGGAAAGCACCACAATATACTAATAGAGACCGCAAGGGCCCGTGAGTTCGGGGTGTTACGCTGTTTTGTTAAGGGTGTTAAGGGTTGCCCCGATGCATATGACTTGCCCTCTGGTATGATGAGGGTGTAGGCTGGTTTGGAAAATTTCAGGAGTATAGGGAGGAACCCCTATTTGGGACCTCTAATCTTATTCCCCTATGTACCTAAGTAGCCCCTAAACAACCCCAAAACCCAAAAAACAAGAACCCCTGAGGGTCCTTGCATGGGTCCCTCCTTTGGTCCCTTGAAAATTGCAGCTTCCGGGGTCACGGAACGAACGGTTTCCTGGTGGCATGAAAGGCGGCGCCGCATCGGAACCCCGAACATACCCGAACCCTGATATCCTGTATAAGCCTGGCCCAGTAGGGTCAAGGCCACATATAACCCTAAGCCCTAAACTTTCAAACCTAAGCCCGAAACCCGAATCCCTAAACGCCCCGAAACCCTAAGCTCTAAACCGCCCGCAGCCCCAAATAAGCCGGCCACACAGGAAGCTCCACTCAACCAACCGGCTGACAGAGAACGCTTGGTGCAGCTGATGTTCGAGTATTTCAACGTGCGCGCCCTGCCACCTCGGCTGCGATGGTTTCTCTTAGAGTCCTAAACCCTGAACCCGAAGCCCTAAACCCTAAGCCCTAACCCCTGAACGTAGCTTAGACTCCCCTTGTAGGGTTTAATGGTTTTGGGGTTTAAATTTAGAGGGGTTTAGGGATAGGGTGCCTTAAGTGCCAGTGCACCCCCTAACGGAGAATTGACCATCTACACCTGAGCCTAGTCATTCCAAGAGGCGGCTGTGGAAGGGGTGTGGCAACTCCCGAGCATCCACAACAAAGAAGCCGCACCCCAAAAGCCCCCAATCGAAGGGGGCGTAGTATAGCAAAGCTACATCTTAGGATACAAGCAGAACAGAACTTAGGGCTCTAAACCCTAGGCAAATAAAAACTAAGCCCTAAGTCCGAAACCCCATAGAAAAGCCCGAGGTGCTTCTTGAGAGGTCCAAACCTTATGGTCCAAGGTACCTTGCTCTCCCGGAAGTTCTTTCACTGTATGCTTCTGGCCGCACTGCAGGCGCACGTAGCACGTGTGATCAAGAGTGAGGGGTTTAGGGTTTAGGGTTTAGGGTTTAGGGTTTAGGGTTTAGGGTTTAGGGTTTAGGGTTTAGGGTTTAGGGTTTAGGGTTTAGAGGTGTAGTTCGCCCGGCGCTTTCCGCTGCAGAAAGTGCGCTGATCCCGGCAGCAGAAGAAGATTGGTGCTGTGCTTGGAGGCTCGTGGGTACGTACAAGCAGGGTTATTAGGAACCTATATAGGGTCATAAGTAGAGTTACCATACTTATTGTAGCCTTACTTACAACTACCAATGAACCGCCAAGTAGCGTGTAGCTGTTTTTTTTTTGTTCTGAGCAGGCTTGGTGCTGGACCTGGGCCACCTGTCGACCCATGCTGTGCCCGTCTGGGACGGCGTGGTGCCTTCGGCGCAACGTTGTTGTTTTTTTGTTTTGGGGGGCTTCCGCGGGCTTCGGCAGGACATGTGCAAAGAGTTCCTGAGTCCGCTGTTGCAGCCAAGGGCCGTCTTGCTTTGCGGTCATGCATGGCCTAAGCTCTTACTGCAAACCCTATACTTGGAGGTTCGTGGGTTTTCATAAGTATGGCTAGACGTATGGTAAGCATACTTAAGAACCTATTTAGGGTTGCACGCATGGTAAGCATACTTAAGAGCCTACTTAGGGTTATAAGTAGGGTTGTAAGTATGGTACCTATGCTTCTATGTATAGGGTACTTAGCACCCTATACTTATAAGTGCCCGTGAATCCTTGCCCGCGTGCCAGGCCAAGGGTTTGCTGCGAGAGACCCTAAACCCCAAACCCCAAACCCCAAACCCCAAACCCCAAACCCCAAACCCCAAACCCCAAACCCCAAACCCCAAACCCCAAACCCCAAACCCTAAACCCTAAACCCTAAACCCTAAACCCTACGAAGACGCCCGTGACTCCAGGCGATGCACCACGCAGTGTCGAAGATGGATTTGGGGGGGCATGGGCTGACTGACCATATGGCGCGGCTGCTTCAGGAGCAAGGTGTGGGACAAGGGCTTTAGGGTTTAGGGTTTAGGGTTTAGGGTTTAGGGTTTAGGGTTTAGGGTTTAGGGTTTAGGGGAGTTGAGGGGAGTCGATAGATGGGCCGATGAGACTAGATACATGTAAATAAGGTACATGACATGAAGCCTGAAACCTGCCCTCACCCGGGCAAGTTTGCAGGACGGTCCTCTCATGCGTGGCTTTGGGGCCTAGGTAATGTGGGGCTAGTGATTTGGGAGTTTCCGAAATTAAGGGTAGCTTCTTGGGCTCCCAATTATAAGGGAATCCTACTATTTGGGGATCTTTTTTGGGGGCCCCCTTTTTCATAAACCCCCATTTGCTGCTCCGGTATCTGGTGGGCAACGCGAGCACATGCTTGAAAGCCTCAAATATCCTGAGTCCGCGAACCTGCAACCTTGGACCCTGTAAACCCTCAACGCAACTTCGGGGTCTTGAGTTGTTCCGGTGCTGTTTGCATCGGATGGGAGGCCACTCGTTCACGACAGACTCGGATCAGCGCATTGTGCGCGACATTAAGGAGCCCAGCTTTCCGGGCTTGGTTTTTTTCAGGTTTCTTGCATCCAGTTAGATAGGTCCTTGTCCATGAACCCTAAACCCTAAGCCCTGAACCCTAAACCCTAAACCGCGGAATTGAGATGTGCGACCTCGGAGAAGTTACGGGTTTACCATCGTATTCAGGGTTTATATGTAGGCTAGGGATTCTATTGGGTTGAAAATGCCGAGCCCTAAGCCCTAAACCCTAAACCCTAAACCCTAAACCCTAAACCCTAAACCCTAAACCCTAAACCCTAAACCCTAAACCCTAAACCCTAAACCCTAAACCCTAAACCCTAAACCCTAAGCCTTGCTTCTTCCAGGAGAAGATGTGCTACGTGCCACTGGACTACGCTTGCGAA